GTGCACTTCCTATAGATCAGATGGCAGTGGTGCAGAGCTGGGTGGTGCCATGTTGGTAGAGTCAACCCTCTTTCTGTTAGCTGATTTTTCCATATCCTGGTCTCAGGAGATGCAAACATTTGCTTGAGTGCCGTGGTTCCCCCTGTTGCTAGTGCTCTAGCTCAGAGATGGGTTGCATTGTTTCCTGTCTTCTCCACTGACTCTGCTGTCCCTGCCCAGCTCTGTTCTCTTCAGTCACTGCAATGGCCCCTTCTTACCTCTGCCTTTAGCTATATCAGGCCAGTAAGGAAAAAAAACATGGGTAGGTGATCAAAAAGGGCAGAGAGAAAGAGTGCCAGGTATTTATTTCCCTGCAGACTCATTTTGGACTGGATTGCCCGAGACCACAGGCCATTATGGGTCTCACAGGCAAGTTATCTCTTCTAGTTCTCTTTTTGAGGCTTCTCCCACATTTTCTAATAATGGCACCACATCGTCTGGTGTTTCTCTGTACCCATCCGTACTTTTGTTAAACTCTGCATATTGTGCAAGATGAATGGGTCATCTCTTACTGCCAGGACTCTGCTTACTTCAAAAACAGAAGAAAAAGAACGTTCTGGGCAGCTCAGAAGCCAGAATCGGTTGTCCTGCAAAAACCTTTATAGATCTGCTTAAATGTGCCCCTGACTAACCCTGCCTGGGGACAGCACAGGGGCTCCATTTTTTTTCCCCTCTGGTACCATTGGGGCCATCTGGGGACTGTTTATGACTTACGTAGAATTGGGAGTCTCAATGACAGCAGGCTATGAGTGATCTTTTTCACTTTGTGCCTTGAGTTGATCGCGGAATGGGCACTGCTGTGCCTGTGCTTGCATCCCAGACGCCGCCGCAGCCGCAGCACCGCCCGAGGATGTTAGAAGGCGGGGTGAGAATGCCAGACGGCAACACGCTTTAACATAGTAATAAAATTACTGCTCTTGAAGAATTAGAGTTGAGACAGTTCCGGAGAGAGCAGCCTCAAGCTAAGGCAAATGAGAATGATCCTAATTCTTTAGTGAGTCCCACACTGAAGTGGTTTAACTCCTCTTTCGACAGTCGGGCTATTTAGTTGTCTGCTTTCGGAATTAATTTTGGAATGACATCTGCAGAACTGGGGAGCACTGTTGAGTTTCTTGCAAAAAAAATAGAAATCATGTCCCGAATGTCATTTGATGACAACGGTAATTAACCTGGATCACACACCAGCTGTACCAGCAAACATGACAGCCCTAGAATTGTTTGGAGATTAAAATGCGAATGTCAATAGCAAGTAAGACAGAACATCGTGTATTTTCATGTGAGCTTTACCTGTCTAACAAGTAAGTAGCAAATGGACTCCTACACGAGGCACCGACTTTTTCTAGGCTATAGCTAAACCCATCCATTTCTGTGCAGACCTAGGTGAGCCGAGCCTTTTGTTTAATCTCACCCAATGCAGATGCTGGTTTTTGTCTTTTCTTCCCAGCCTCTCCTTTCACTAGCGGTCCAGCTGCTGTGCACATGGCATGACACCCCTCGGCCACGTGCCCTAGGAGATCATGAAAAACAGTGCCCGTGTTGCATGCTCGCCATGCATTATTTTTGCTCAAGACATTTTGAATTTGGAAAATACAAATATTAAAATTCCCAACCTCTGGCTATTTTTAAACCATGAGATTATTTGAGGACAACTGGCCCTTTCCTCTAGCACGGTGATCCTCGCCTCTGATGAAGGCATCGGTCGGAAACCGTGGCGTCCGCCAGTCAGCCTCCCTCACTCTGTGGCCTACCTGCTCTATAGCCATGTGTTGGCGTGTGCCCAACACTTTGGTTCTAGGCACCAATAAGAGAAGTAGCTGGTCGTTCAATTTTGTCACTGGCATAAGAAACCTCAAGCTCTAAGAGACTGGGGACTTTGTCCATTTGTCTTGGATATGTGTTTTAGAAATGTTTATTGAATTCAATGGGAATTCTGCTTAGAAGATGAATCTGGCAGTGATCTGCGGGATGCTTAAAGGGACGTGCTGACCCTGGGACAGGCAAGACGGGACCCTGAGACACAGCTGGAATAGAAGTGCAGCGGATTGAAAGGCTGATGGAATGTGAAGGAGGAAAGGACAGGACGGCTTGGGAGCCTCCAAGAGTAACAGTGCGAGGCTGGAGAGATGGCTCAGCAGTTAAGAGTGTGTTTAGTTCTGGCATGAGGGCCAGTGTTCAGGCCTCAGTACCCACATCACACTGCTCACAACCACCCATAACGTCAGCTCCCAGGGATCCAGTACCTTCTTCTACACACACACACACACACACACACATACACACACACATGCACGTGTATACACCTGTACATACACTCACAGACACACATATACAGAAACATACACACATACTCAAAAGAGATTTTTTTTTAAAAAAAAAAAAGTGAAGTAGCAGAGCTATTGACCCAGCTTTGAGGGTTGTGGTAGACGCCGCAGAAAGTCTCCGCTATCCCAGTTCATGTTTGGATATGGAGGGAATCTGAAGCTTGAGTGTACAAATCAGTAAGTGCTCATGGTTGTGCCCGGAACTGATTCCTTGTGTTTTCACCCCAGAGCAAAGACCATCAAGAATACTGTGTCTGTGAACTTGGAGCTCACAGCAGAAGAGTGGAAGAAGAAATATGAGAAGGAGAAAGAGAAGAACAAGGCCCTGAAGAGTGTCATCCAGCACCTGGAGACGGAGCTGAACAGGTGGAGGAATGGTGAGAATGAAGGGCGCGGGGCTGAGGCAGGGGCCAGCGCTGTTTCCTTTCTGCGACTGTTGCATCCTGGAAGCCTCCCGAGGAAGGCGGTGATTGTGGAATTCAAGCATTTACCATTTCTGTGGTGATAAGTGTATTATTATTTCGTTTTACGAATATGTGTTATTATTCCTTGGCACCGTGCCATGTCTCATTCTATCTTGCAGTCTATACAGACCTATACAATAATGTGGGCAAGGTGGCCTGTGTGTGTGTGCGTGTGCGTGTGTGTGTGTGTGTGTGTGTGTGTGTGTATGATATAGTATATTGTCCCGCGCTACCATCTCGCCCGCAAGAACGACGCGGGACACTTAGGATTTTTTTGTAGTAAAGCTTTATGCGTCTTGAGAGGGAGAGCATAAGCTTACATGGCGGAGACCCAGAATGAGGGGAACCCAGCCCTTATAACGGAAACAGTCCTCGCTTCTGACGCGTCATTCTTGAATCGGTCCACTGCCCATTATCCCAGATGATGCCTCGGGAGTAGGCAGGGACGCAGCGGTAGAGAGTTATAAAGCACGTGCGCTGGGATTAAAGGCGTGTGCTACATCACCTTGAACTCATAGAGATCTGCTTGTCTCTGCCTCCCAGGCATTGGGACCAAAGGCGTATACTACCACGCCTTGAGGTCACAGAGGTCAATCTGCCTCTGCCGCCCAGGCATCAGGACTAAAGGCGTGTGCCGCCACACCTTGGGGTCATAGAGGTTAATCTCTACCTTTGTTCCTAGAAGCAATGGAAAATGTGGTCCGGCCCTCCACAGTATATGATATAGCCTATACACACCTATACAGTGGTGTGAGTAAGGTGGCCTGAATCAATCTCTCTTTGTATGGAGGGGTTCACGTGTATTGGGAGGGTATACACGTACTGGGAGTTGTGTGTGTGTGTGTGTAGAACATGTGTGAGGGTTCATGTATTTACACATAAATGTGGAAACTAGAGATCATCTATGGGTGTTCTACCCAGGAGGACCTTGAGACAGGGTCTAGTCTAGTGAATGAGCCCCCATGGACTAGATGTCCCCACCTCCCCAGCTCTGGGATTCTGAGCGCTTGCTACCAGGCCTGATATTCTTGTGTGTGTTATTGAGATGGAATTCAGGTCCTTGTGCTGAGTATCAAGCACTTGCTTGAGAGTGCAGTTCCCCAGCTGACCAGAACCTGTTTCCAGTGCTCTGTTTTCTGTATGTTACTGCCCTTCATTCTCAGGGATCCTGGGTTGATGTTTACGGGACAGCATCTGAGAGTTTGTTTTGACTCATACAGATTGCTTTGACTAAATGAAAAAATAGGATTTGCTACAGTCTTGCTATTGCTTTGGGGTTAAAAGTCATCTCAGGCAAGCGCTTGCCTTTTCTAACCTGCCTCTCTGTCAATGGTCTTCTGGGTAAAAGAGAGAAAGGCTAAAGAAACCCTGTTCTAAAATGGATTCTGACAGGCTTGCTTCATAATTACCCCCCCCCCCTTCATGAACAGTCTCTTTGGTTTGTTCTATAGGAGAAAATATCTCAGAGAGCTGGCGTGCCGCGGGTGGGTGGATTGTGGGAGAGGTGTTAGGAGTGGCTTCCAGATCCCAGGGCAGACAGATTATTTTGGTGACTTTAACATTATGACAGAGCTCAGAAGGTAGCGGTCTGTTTTAATCTGGGAGCAAGGCAGGTTGGAGCTGTGTGTCAGAGCATGGGAATAGCTGGCAGTCATTCCTTCCTCAGATCCTTTGCTTCCCTGGGGTGGGAGTATTTCAGCAGCTCCTGCAGCCTGGGGTACCCTGAGGGTGGGAG